TGATAAAACACATATATGAGAGCATATTCCATGTGGACACTGAACCCAGCAATGTAGTGGACAGTGCTGTGGACAAAATGTCTTTTGTCAGCAATGGTTAAAAAAAAATAATTTTTTGTGGAGAGTAGGGCTGTCTCACCTCCACCTCACGCTGATCCTGAATCTCATCCCACAGAAATCTAAGAAAGTTCTGACACTAGATTACAGGACATAGGTTTACAATGAAAATGGTGGACATAGCTGAAAACAAAGCTACACAGCCTATGTTAACAATGCTATACAATTAACACACCTATTGGGGAAAAAGATTTTTTTACCAAGTGTGCCAATGGTGTTAAAGTTACAGGAAAAGATATATACGTCTTGAGGTTAAAGTCCCAGGCAAGTGCTTACACAGTTCAGACTAAAACACAGACGGTGCCATCTGGAAAAGTGTTCCATGGTCAAAGGAGGCTTTTACTGGTAATGATGAAGATAATTAAGTCAAAGATTTATGGGAAGCATTTTAATAAAAGTTTCATGAAATGAGAGGGGGAGAAGCATAGATAAATTATACACTACTTTAAAATAAGTATGTATGATTAAATCAAGTATTTGGTATTATGAACAGACTTTTTCCTATTCTGAGATTTGAAGACGTTCATTGGGATAATTTTATTACCTTTTAAATCCATTGTTTCAAGCCCCCTTGTGTGCATGTGTGTGTTTATGTCCAAGTTGCTGAAACAACCATGAGTTGTTGTTTTTTTTAATATAAAGACAAGCAACCAGCCATAGGAAGCCTTTGGTTGGTACAACAGCTGCAATAGGATCAAACACGGTGACTGGGGGGCTGATGCAGGAACAGGCAGCATTTTGTTCTACTGAACAAAAGGTCACTGTAAATATCGAGTTAACTCAACAGCATCTGACAACAATTTTTTTTAATAAGGAAAATGGATTGGGGAGGGGGGGGGTGTTATTTCCCACTTAGGTTTAGACCTGCCATATGCAAGCTTTACTGCCAACTTCTTTAAAAACGGTGCTAACACACAATGACTGCTCTGAGCTCCTGAACCCTAAGTACAGCTGTTATCTTTCTTATTCACTTTGGCAGTCCCACAAACAGGATATTCAACACCAAATTTTTTAGTGCATCCCCCCCTCCCACAAATAATGAACCCAGACACAAAGCAAAACAGACTCTGAGTCAAGAGACCGCAACTCCAAGTAACCAGTGGCACAGACAAAAAACCTGGGATGCAGTCTTGCTCTCCCTTCTCATTCATCCCTCTGGTACCCAATGCACTACCAAATCCTGCCTCCGCTCTCTGAAAACTTTGTGTCTATTAACTGTGCTGCAAGTCATATCTGGCTCCAGTTTATAAATTATTGCACAAATTTCCCAATGACGAAGTTTCCACTCCTGGTTTCCTCCAATCCATACTCTCAGAGTAGGCGAGGGTGCTCTTTTATTAGATATCTTTTTTTTTTAATCAATTTATTGGGGCTCATACAATTCATCACAATACATAGATCAATTGTGTAAAGCACATCTATACATTTGTTGCCCTCATTATTCCCAAAATTCGCTTTCCTCTTGCGTTCCCGGAATCTCTTGCTGTAATAAACAATAACTTCCAATAACTACCCATTACACTTAAAGCTCCACATCTTACTCCATTAGTTTGATCTGGCTCCTGCTGCCTACTTGGACCTCACCCAATACCTTCTTCACATTGTCGCTATTCTCCAGTTACGACCACCTTCTGGAACACTTCCTAGACTCAGGCTTTCGTCCCAGGAGCTTTTCCTCTGCCAATAACCCTAGCCCGAGAATCCATCTAATTGTACTCCCAATGTGGATAAAACTACAAGTGTGTCTAGTCTTGATTCTAGAAGACAATGTGCAAGTAGGCTTTTACAGCTGATAAATAAATAATTGAGGAGGACACAGTCAATCCAAGACAAAATTGCCCTATAGCATAAAAGTTTTGTTCCACAGAGCCTCGAAGAAAATATACATGTATGCAATAAGGCTGGAAAATAAATTTCAAAGATGGTCTTTGGGGGAAAAAAATTTATTTTCCAATGTTGAAAATCTAAAGTAGAAAACAGGCTGAGGTTTATGTACATGTATAAGAAAACCAAGACACAAAGGAAGAAATGATACAAAAAAATGACTGCACATGTGTGCATGTGGATGCAAGAGATTTCCAGACAATTCAGGCCCAGAAAACTTATTTCCTACTGGAACATAGTGTCCTCTTTTATATCACAGTTCTTCAAAAACATTAAAAGCGCAAGTGTGAACTTTGGGGAAGGAGAAGCAATGTACAGTAGGAGGAAGGTTAGGGGGAAATGATGGAAAAAGAAGACAGTAAAAATGTCACCCACCCAATCCTACTTGGATAGACATGCAGGCTGAACTGACATGTTGCGGGAGTCAGATGCAGACCCATGGATACACACAGATTTGATGTCTCTGCTGCAAATCCATGAACATGGTGGAGCAAACAGGGAGGTAAGCTATGAAAACTTCTCAAACACAGCCAAACACCTTCAAGGGATGAGCTGCTGGACCTGCAAGGTTAGGACTACAGTTTCGGAGGGCACCAAGGTTAACTAGTATAACATAACTCACAATGTTCTAAATCTTACTTTAATAAATAGCATTTCGAGGTCTAAAAAGTTCGTGAGTGGCCATCTAAGGTATAACCATTGGTCTCTGCCCTTTGGAGGAAAAAAGACTGATGAAAACTGAAAGACATGGAAACCATTCGTCCATTGAACTGACCCCAAAAAACATCTCTAATACCTGGAGACCAGAAAAAACAGATGATGTCCAGCCACTACCAATTGCTATGAACGAGACTACATTAGAAGGTCCTAGGTAGCATGAGAGAAAACCGTAGAACAGACTCAAAATCATAAATGAGGCCAAGTTTATTGGTCAGAGTGGAAGCCTGAGACGCTTCAAGCTTGGAAATGAACTTACCCTCTGTGGCAAAATCATCAACTGCTTAAGACCAAAAGGATAGAATTTACCAAATGACAAAGTTCAAAAGGAGTAGGAAAGGAGGAGGACGGGAAACAGAAAAATCTAAATAAGTGATGGTACTTTGTGGGCACTGCAATGAACGAGTTGAAACAAGATGTGTACGACTAGGTGTACAGAAGATTGATGATTTGCTCTGTAACCCTTTACCTAATTGCAATAAAAAGTTGTTTTAATGGCAGGAAACAGAACAGATACAAAGATGAAAGATAAAATATTGCAACAAAATCTTTTATATCTGTGTTTCAGATCAATATTAATGATTCAACAAGCATAGGAAGAACACTAACAAATAATAATTTGTAAAAACTCAAACTAAACCCACTGCCATTGGGTAGATTCCAACACACAGTACCCTAATATAGGGTTTCCAAAGCTATAAATATGGGTTTGAATCACCTACTTTGCAGTTACCAGGCCAACCTTACTCACTATTCGCCACCAGTTCCTTAACAATTTAAACAAATTGGGAAAACAATACCTCACTTCAGGGCTTCAATTCCCATCTATCTTAAATATTCTCACTGAAGCTACCAATATCTCCTGGGGGGCTCACTCAAATTCCACAAGTTCATCCTCACTTCTGTTCTGCAAAAATTGGCCAAATGTTGTTACTGCTAAGTGTCTATGGTATACTTTTGGTATATTGGACAAAAGATTGAGAATTACTTATTATCATCCTTTACAAGAACACACTACTCTTGAAATTCTGCTGGTTCAATTATTTCCACTTGAGATATTAATCAATCTCAAATTCAACATATCTAAAACTGAACTCCTTACTGTGTTCCCAGTTATACCTCAACACTCATTTTCTTAGTTTAGTAAACAAGGCACAAAGTTGCATAAGCCCACTCCTTGTCTGCCCCCAACCCCCAAAAAAGGAACCTCTTTTGACTTGTCCCCCACTTGTCATTCCTCATCCAATCGCAACAATCCAAAATAGCTCCCAAAATAGCTCTGGAATCCATCCATCATCTGTACCACTATCTTGATCCAGGCCTTCAGCATTTCTCCCCTGGATCAATGATTTAGATTTCTACTCAAACAATCCCATCTCCAGTCTTATTCCTTCCTCTAGAACAAGAATGAATTATGTAAGAGTAAATTTGTTAGTGCCGCACCAATGCTTTAATTCTTTCAATGGCTCCCCATTACCCTCAGGATAAAATATGAAATTAAAGTATCTTTTATCTGATCTCTCTCTTTCTGGCTTCAAATCTCACAACTCCAACAGTAGTGAACTTTACTTATCGTATATACTCGAGTATAAGTCGACCCGAATATCAGCTGAGGCACCTACTTTTACCACAAAAACAACATTAAAAATGTGCTGGAGAATTCGGCTTATACGCAAGTACATACAGTAGTTGCTGAATAAGCAGTCTTCTCTTTATTTAACCCTTTTAATATAGTCACCTCTGACTATTCAGCTTTGTTCAATAAGCGAACTTCTTTTATCCTTTATGATTCGATTTTGGTATTGCTTTTCTCATAAGGCATCTCTGACTTCCAAATCATAGGCAGCTACAAAAGTTAGTGAAAAATGAAACTAAAACGTAATAATTTTAAGCAAACTTTTTGAAGCCCCCTTGTATGTTACACTCAGCAGCACCTCCCATACTATAATCAGGGGTTTCCTCTCAATTTCAAACTCTACTGAGAATAGGAACGTCTTATGTTGTTGCAGTTAATCAAAGCACCTAAGCTGTGGTATAGCATGAAATTAAGTGTGGGAACCGGACTCAGACAGACCTGTGTGTCACAAGTGTCAGAACTGGGCAGTTATTTCAACTCTATATTTTCTTATCTATAAAATGTACATAGCACAGGGGCATTTAAAAATTAAATGTGGTACTAAAGTGTTTAGTCTAGTGCTTGCTTCACATATGTATTAGCCATCATTACTTTATACAGTGCCTGCCAAAGAAAATATTTGCTGAATGAGTACACTCTTCACAAATTACGATAAACACATATTTTAATAGTGATAGGATCAGAATTCACTATACTTACAAATAAGTGGACAATTCTATAAGAAGGCGGACATGTTATTTATGTATGTGGCATGGGGGATTTCTTATATTTAGGTGAGTTGAATTATAAAGCAGAATGTTCAAAGATAATGACTTGTGCCTCGTTTTCTGGAACAATTTGCTTATGAAGTTGAGTTTGCTCTAACCCAGAGTTCCCTAGAGATTGTGGGGAAGTGTTACAAATTGAGGCCGTTAGGTTATACCTCGCTGACTGATAAAAGCTGTAGTATTCCAGTCTACTTTCTCCTGAGTTCTCTGATGCTTTTACTGTTTGCTTAAATTGAACAATCTTGTAGATCAGAAAAACAATCAAAACACAAGATAAGATGAAAAAGGCTAGCAAAATGTCAAAAGCCTCGTTCAGCTTTTCCACTTCCTCCGTACAAATTACGGATGTTCTTCCTGCCACTGATGCGGCATCACTCGGTAGAGCACTGATTTTCTCCAAGTTCGAGTTAATGGAAGAAGTAAGCTGTATTTGCACAGGCAGCACAGTAGTCGTTTCTAATGCATTACCAAAGGTATTCTCTTGAAACATTTTACTGGCAGGTGATGTTCGAATTTGCTCCCAAAAAGTAACAGTCTCAGTATTTTCCAAATGTTTCCCATTCATGGTCACTTTATGCCAGGCCATCATTAGTGCAGTGGTCTTGAGGTGAATATGAAGAGATTTTAAAGCCCAAGTCCTGGATACATTTGCCGAAGGTGTAGAGCAACTTGGAAAGTCAATCCATTTAACATAATGTAACGCTCTGCCACGCAGAGATGGTGGGGTCTGACAATAGATGTTTACAGTGAGAGCTGAAGACACTAGCCAGTCACGAAGGTCCAATAGTTTGCAGTTACATTCCCAAGGATTAGAATATGCCTGAAGATGAGTCAATGAAGACAATGGCTTAAGGACCTTTGGGTTTAAGTCTGTAAGATTATTAAATGACAAGTTAAGGATCTTCAAAGACGCTCCCATATTTTCAAATGTATCATTATCAATGTTGATAATTTGATTTCTATCTAGCTGAAGGTATAGTAAATTCTTTAACAAACTAAATGTGTCTGAATTTAATATTTTTAAATCATTATGACTTAAGGTTAAATGTTTAAGATTATCCATTCCACTAAATCCATGCCTACTAACATTTTTAATTCTTGCATTTTTCAGGAGGAGATACTCCAAGCTGCTAAGTCCTTTAAACGCAAAGGGCTGTATTGTTTCAATATGGTTATGAGACAAAGAAAGTCTTTTAAGACTCCTAAGTCCTCCAAAAGCATTGGAGGGAACTTTTGTTAAGTTATTGCCTTCTAGATACAAACAATCTAGGTTTCTAAGATGTTGAAAGCCTGAATCTGATATGCTCAAAATTCTATTGTTTGATAAATCAAGTATTCTAAGAGCAAGCATACCATCAAACGTGCCACTCCCAAGGATAGTGATGCGATTCCTTTGCAGGTTTAAATACTGAACAGAAGCCAGATCATTAAACACGCCTCTTGGCACAAAAGATACTTGATTAGACTGTAAATATAAACTACGAAGATTTGGAAGGCCTTTAAACATTCCAGGATCCAAACGTTTTATAAGGTTATCATTTAGATATAGAAAATACAGATGCTTCAGTTCAACAAAGGCCTTTGGATATACATATAGGATGCTGGAATTATCCAAATATAATGCTACCAGAGAATCAAGTCCAGTAAATTCACTTTCACTTATATGTGATATATTATTTCCACTCAAATATAGAAAAACAGTACTTTCAGGAAAATTCTTGGGAATGCTGAAAAGGCCTAAATTACGGCAGTGAATTTGTCTCCCAGTGCAGAGCCGGCACATGGACGAACATCCAAATATCTCCTTAGGAAGTAAAAGATAACAGGTAACAAGGAGAAATGGTCGTAGACAAGGCAGAGAAAACTGTAATCCACACATAGCCCTGTTCTTGTTTTCTCTGTTCACATCAGAATTGGCTATAAAAAGAGAAGGTAAACTGTAAATCATCAGAAAGTTTTTAGGTTCTTTATAACAGAAATTCTTTGTTCTATTTTTTTTATTAACAATGATACTAAATATCAAGAATCCTCAGGGGGTTTAAAAGATTATAGCATTATTGGAACTATAAAAGAAAACAGAATTTTCCCACACTTTTAAATAATACAATATAATCAAGATCGGGCATGTTCTAGGACTATTAATACCTCCAGGTTATTAGCACACTATTTGACAAAAAGGTAATTCATATTTAATGAACCGCAAACTGAGTTAGCTTAGTTACAATGATAACAGAATGCTAGGTTAAAAGATTTAGGCTATAACATATGTCTCTATCAACATAGCCAACTGTTAATTAAATGAAATTGTATTTGTGAAAATACAAATTCATTAAAGAGCAATTAAGCTTTCCTTCAATTACTGTTTTCAACAACCCATATTACCTATCATTTCAGCTTAAAGTTGAAATTTAAATTTAAAAAATCTTACCAACAACAGGAAATTCATCACATTATCACTCAGCTGATTTAAGTACACAATTTCTTTTTAAATCTACTGAGCAACATTTCTAAATTCCACTTCTTTCTGTGGCACTGCTGACCGCCACCCCTCCACGATTTTTTGAATGTCACAATTTGCTCGGGAAACTCCACTCTTCCCATTAGTTCCGCTACAGACCTTGCGTAAAACAAGGTTGCCATGGATACAGGAAACTGAGGGACAGGAAGCAACTTTATCTTTGTTTCAAAGGTATTGTTGAAAGGAAATCTCACAAACCTATTTTTCCCCCCAGAATACAGCTAATTTCAGTTTTCCTATTAAATACATCTAAATATCTCTGGTGATTTTAAGGAGCATTAAAAAAAAATAGGTGCCCAAAACGTTTCCATATTTAAAATAAAAAGATAGCTATACTGTATAGAAAAGGCAAACTCGAATAAATGTCTATGAAGGGGCATAGAAACAATTCTATTTTTCCAAAACACTTTGAAGTACCCCCATATACAGTAACAAAAATGCCACTTTGAGGATGAAGGAGGATGAGGCAGAGTAGGCAGTATCCCATTCCAGTGTGCAAAAGCCTGCTTGCTATCAAGCAGAATCAACACCACAGTACGTGACAACAGCAGCTGAATAACACAAGGTTGGCAAATTTCTAAAGTATATATTGTTTTTCACACATACTGGGGCTTCATCTTTATCTAATGATTTTTTTTTTTAAGTTCGCAAATTCATCAAGGAATTGAGAGGTAAATATAAGTATTTTTTTGAAGTACTGTTTCATTATTCTTTGATCTCTATTAAATTTCACATAAATTTTGGGTATAAAAATTAATTTGAATATTACAAATTAACCATTTAACACATGATGTCCTAACTGCACAATGATAGGAAGTTGCACAAGAATTACTGAAGACTATCTCTAGCAGGAAAGCAGGGGACGTACAACAGGGCCTTTAAATGCTTTCTGCCCTAGATGCCTGAATGATCTGAATCCTTTATGTTGGCAATGTACCTGTATATTATAGAATGTTTTAAAGGGAAAGATATAAGAGTTGAATACGCAGATCTCACGCATTGCTTTCAAGTCAATGCTAATTCACAGTGACTCTACAGAATCCAGGAGAATTATCCTATGTGTTTCCAAGGTTGTACATATTTGTGGGAGCAGAAAGCCTCATCTTTCTCCTGCAGAGCAGCTGGTAGTTTTGAACTGCAAGACCTATGGTCAGCAGCCCAACACATAACCCACTACACACCATCAGAGCTTGAATAGGTAGATAGATAATATTATAAATTGTGAAATTTCTTCCCCTTTTTTTGAAGTGAAACTTCTTAATGTGGCTCTTCTATCCATGGGAGGGACCATGCAAGCAGGGTATGTAAAACATAATAGATTGAAACCAATGTATCATCTCAGAAGCTGGAGCTGAGAGAATCTTGGGACCATCAAGGGAGAAACATGACCAGGGGAGCACATTCAAGATCCCTGTCTAAAGTGATGGAGACAGAGACCAGAGGCATCAGAGGCCATAGTATGGAAACCGTGAGACAAGACAAAGGAATCACTCAGCGCAGAGGAGCTGTGTCCCTGAGACCTAAGACCCTAAGATAGTGAGGTGGAACAGCAAGTGGGCTTCCTGGCTCACAGAGGCAAAAGCCAGAGGTCCACATGTCTGAGAAGTTGAGGGCCCAAGAAGGAGACTAGGCTACTGGCCAAGACAGGCACTAGTGTGGACCAATGACTGCACCCTTAATTCTTTACTGATCCTAGCTTGTGATTACCTGGTAACCTCCTTAGTAAACCCTAGTAATTGCAATTATAATCATTTATAAAATGGTGTAGGTGTTTTTAAACCCAAACATCATTTTGTTTTTCTGCAGTCCTCTGCAAACCAGTTATCAAAAGTGAAGGGTCTCTAAGATTTAAATGGGAATAATTCTTTATGGCTTCATTTCCAATAGAAATTCACATTTCCTTTTGGATATATATAATATTGAACATCCTCTTCCACCTGCAGAGAAGCAAGATGGGCATGAGAACTTGTATACAAGTCCAAATAGCCAGATGGGGGCCCCACAGCCAAGACACTACATGCCCTCCCAAACCATTCTGCCACCTAACTTCACCGTGGGGCTGTCCCACAGACCCAGGGGCACCTAGATAACGTTCCCCTCCCGATGCAATTTTCCTGTTGTCATCTTTTCTGAGTTACCCAAATAAACCCTCCTATAGCTCCACTCACTGCCCTCTGTTCAGGCGTCCACTTATGACTTGTGAAATCAATGTTCACGTGTGCAAATCGACTACACTGCTCCACCACTCTCCAGACAGGCTGTGAACTGGCCCAGAGCAAACATACAATTGCAGTTGCACACTTTCCAATTCCTGAGATACAACCAAATTTGATTCATGACTTCTTGACCATGGCTTAGAACTGTACAAAATGACTATGATCAAAAGCAACATTTCGGGACTATTCAATTAGGGTGAATGAGGCCAAAATTCCCATCTACAAATGTCATCAGATATGTATAGTTTATGTATGGCATAAATTATGCCAAAATAGCATGATTTCATCATTTCTTCCCACTGTATGTGTGTGTACATCATTTGTGAGGGAACATTTTTTGCCAAAAATGTCTAATAAAACTCTTCCCTTACAATCTACCAAGTATGCAGATAAAGGCAATGAATATACAACTGGTATCAACTGTTCCATCTTCTTCAACCACCTCTGCCATGTTGGCAGTCTTCTGCTTCTGTTACAGCTAAAAATTCCATTTATGAGAGCAAACACAAAAGTAGGTAGTTTACACAAATTATGCCTAGGTAGAAAGCCAGCTTATTAATGCACAAGATCCAAAAAGCATATATACATAGCCTCATTAAAAAACAACAGACACGCACAATCAAATGTTTTTCCCCAGGTAAGTTAAAATGATCAGAACCAGTAATTACTAGAAATTACATTAGATTATGATGCATACAAAGAAAACACTCATTTTCAACAATTATTCCTACAAACTTCTCCACAATTTTCCTGTTGTCATCTTTTCTATGAGTTACCCAAATAAACAAGGTTGGTCATCAGCTTTAAATGAATAAGCAAGAAGTGACTTTGATTATTCACCTTGAAAACAATTCATCTTAAAGACATTCATTTATTTTGGGGAACAATGCCAGATAATAAATATATATAACATGTCCACCAATGACTTTTCATTTCAATTAACAATCATTATAATGGAAGTAATAAATAACAAATCATTTTTTTAGCCCCTACTGACTGTGTATAAAATATTTTAGGCATTACTCTAATTATACTATAGTCCATTCTGTGCATCTCCTTTTACATTTTAAAAATTATAGAATTATAGTCTTACTTCCTTGTACTGGTAGTTCAGTAAATTAAGGATTAAACTAAGTGAAAGGTCAGTGCTTTGAACCCATCGATGAATCCTAAGAGAAAAGACTAGCAATCTGCTCTCCTTAAGATTTTCAGCAGAGGGATCACAATGTTCACTGCTCTCAAGTCAATACTGACTCAAAGCGACCCTTTAGAACAGGGTGAAACTGCCCCTGTGCGTTTCTGAGACTGTTAGCTCTATTCAGGAGTAGAAAGCCCTGTGTTTTGCCCAAAGAGTGGCGGCTGTTCTTACGGATCACAGTCCACTGCGTAACCATCCCACCACCGGGGCTCCAGTTACAGTAAAGGTAGTCATTAAATCCTCCTATCATTCAATAAACTGTGTGTCTACCATGAATGAGGCAAGGTGCTAAGAACACAGAGATTATAACATTATGCTACATAAAAGAAAACTATCAAGGCTCATGAGGGAGGAGGGAGCGGGGAGGGAGGGGAAAAATGAGGACCTGATGCCAGGGGCTTAAGTGGAGAGCAAATGTTTTGAGAATGATGAAGGCAATGAATGTACACATGTGCTTTACACAACTGATGTATGCATGGATTGTGATATGAGTTGCAGGAGCCCCTAATAAAACGATTAGAAAAAAAAAAAGAAAGAAAACTAAACCAAACTCACTGCCATTGAGTCAATGCTGACTCATAGTGATCCTGCTGTGAGTTTCCAAGACATTAACTCTACACGGGCGTAGAAGGCCCAGTCTTTCTCCCACAGATTGCTGGTGGTTTAGGGCTACCAAACATATGTATCTCAGCCAAAGCATAACCACTACGCCACCAATAAAGCTTTTATACACACACCAAAAAAGCTGTTTCAAAGATTCCTGTGGTGTGAAAGGCATAAAAATTTGAGAACCGACACTATCGCTGAAGACAAAATGGGTGCATAAACAAATGTAGTGAAAAAAGCTGATGGTGCCCAGCTATTAGAATACAGTGTCTGGGATCTTAAAGGCTTGAAGTTAAACAAGCAGCCATGCAGCAGGAAAGCGACAAAGCCCACATAGAAGACACACACCAGCCTGTGTGCTCACGAGGTGTTGATGGGATCAGGTATCAGGCAGCAGAAGACCAAAGCAAACAACCATATAGATGCGAACGAAGGTTTCAGAGTAGAGACCCAAAGCTCATCTATAGACAACTGACAACCTTCACAGAAGGGTCACAAGGAAGGGATGAGTCAGCCAGGGTGCAGTATAGCACCAACGATACACACAACATTCCTCTAGTTCTTTAATGCTTGCCCCCAGCCCCCACTATTATGATACCAGTTGTACCTTACAAGCCCAGCTAGACCGGAGCATGTACACTGGTACAGATAAGAGCTCTTAACACATGGAATCCAGAACAGATAAACCCCTCAGGTACAGTAATGGGAGTGACGATATCATGGGGAAATTGGGGGAGAACGGGGGACTGATCGCAATGATCGACATATAATGCCCCCCCCAGGGGGACAAACAACAGAAATATGGGTGAAGTTAGACAATGCACAGTGTAAGACATAAAAATAATAATAACAATTTATCAAGGGTTCATGAGGGTGGGAGGGGGAAGACGGGGGGGGGATCTGATAACAAGGGCTTAAGTAGAAAGAAAATGTTTTGGAAATGATGATGGCAACATATGTACAAATGTGCTTGATATAACTGATGCATGGATTGTTTTAAGAGCTGTAAGAGCTCCCAATAAAATGTTTTATTAAAAAATTTTTCTGAAGAATGTTTATACTGCAGAAAAAAATAAAATCTTAGATTAAAGAGTAGCAGGTTTAAAAAATTACTATCACCCATGAATAAACCGTAAGTTAAAAAATATAGTCCTATATTATTTAGATAAATATATAATCTTATTTCTGGTATTCACTTATAAAAATTCAATTTAAACCATTCATGGCTCAAATAAAACATTATTTTAAGAATTAACTACTGTAAACATTTAGCAATATTTAAATTATATGGAAATTGTATTCTTCAACATCTAATTATTATCATGATTCTACTAGTCTAATTCTTTGAAAGTCTTAAAATGTTGGTGAATCCATTATCTTAGAAAATTCTGGTATCAAATTTCTAAATACTATTATTGCATGCACTATTTTCTTGGACTAAATGAGCACTATAAAAGGGTATTGAGTGGTCAATCCAAGAGGATTTAGTAAACTAGATATCCACAGAGGACTTAATTACAAGGCAATTTTTCCTGGAAAGGAAGTCATCATACTTAAACAACTAGCTGTTCTTGAATTATTCAACTAGTTTATATTGACTATTCACTTGTGTTGATTTCCTTGACCCTGAGAAAGAGTAAAATGTAAAATTATTCTAAAAGTGTGGTGAAAAACACTTAATCACACTTGAAATTCTTAGAATTATATCACCAAAGGTGACTCTGAAATTTTAGAATGAATTGCTATTTTCTGAGGCCACAAAAAGATTGAGCAATTTCATATACAAGCAATAAATTTTTTAATCTATATCTTTGGAAAACATTAATAGAGGTATTTGAAAGAATAAGCTGGGTCTTATTTTCATGAAAAAATTAGTTGACAAAATTACTCTTTACCTATGAAAATGATAAATGCCCACGGATGTAGAGTAAATTCTGACTCAGTGTGAACCTATAGGGCACAATGTAACTGACCCACAAAGTTGGGTATACAAATAAGTACAAGGCTGTAATTATTTACGGAAGCAGACTGCTAAATCTTTCTCCTTCTGGAGAATCTGGGAGACTTGGTTTTGGTTAGCAGCACAGAGCTTTTAAACACTGTGCCACCAGAGTTTCTTATATACAAATAATCTAGAACCTTTTAAAAAGGAGGAAAAAATCAAACAAAGCATTCAGAATCTGAAACAATTATAGCTAAAAAACACAAAGAACACAAAGTTGCACAGCACAACTGAAAAAATATAACAAAGCTCTGTTGGAGGGATATAGCAAGAATATGTAGAAGAGACAAAGTAGAGGTTATCGAGAATTCAGAATATTACAAAAGCACATCAAGCAAACGGTGGCAGGTAACAGATGCTGTGATTACTCTTCAGCGTTTAGCGGAATGTCAATAACAGACCATAAAATGTATAAGGGACTCTGGTGGCACAATGAGTTAAGCGCTGGGCTGCTAACAACAGTCTGTGGTTCAAACTGACAAACTACTACCATTTCCCCGAAAGTAAGACATCCCCCCCAAAATAAAACCTACTTATAGCTTTGCCTCTCACTGATATATATGGCATTCCCCCGAAAATAAGACCTCCCTGAAAATAAAGCCCCCCGAAGCTACTGTAACTCTGGAATCTGGACCATAGTGGCGGGCGCCGCCAAGCAGCTCACTGTTGGTCGCAGCACAGCCGGAGCAGACAGGAAGTGTGAGGTCTCTTTTAAATAAACAATAAATGTGTACCGTATTCTTCTTCATGGAAAAATAAGACATCCCCTGAAAATAAGACCTAGTGCATCTTTGGGAGTAAAAATTAATATAAGACACTGTCTTATTTTCAGGGAAACAAGGTAAGAGTAGGAGAAAAATGATGTTATCTGCTCCCATAAAGATTTATCATCTCTAACGGCAGTGAGTTAATGTTTTATTTCTAAGTTTCTCTTAATACCAGTACTTTACATTACAGAAAAATTTAGCATGTTTTATTCACCTTATTATGTACTTGTTAGTTTACGCAACAAATGTCTGTAGAGTTCTGACTACTATCAAGAACCAGGGTCTTTCATCACACGTTTTTTCCCCACTAGAGAAAGAGAAATAGAAGTATGTCAAAATGTAGTGACCAAGGATAAATAAGATGTCACTAAACTTCAGTGAGAACTATCTTGGTCTTGTACATAAGGCACCTCGGAAGTAACCTTACAAACAGGTGAGGCAGAGACTAAGTCTTGCTATCAAGCTGCCCAGGTTTAACTGTGGCCCAGGCCATATGCTAGATCTCTAACCCAGGGGAAATGACTTACATTTAGTAAATTTGTTTTCTATTATTTATTAAAAAACACAGTCTCTCATGGGATTCCTGGAAGGACCAATGAGATTTCAAGGCAAACCTCTTGGCAACATGCTTAGCATATATTAAATGGTCAATAATTGTTATGGGTTAGTTTAAAAATTACCTGTATTCTTAATTCAAATCATCATACTAGGAACAAATAATGGAGAAAGATAAGGTTCTTTAAAATGAAATAAGCTTTTGTCACTAATTTACCACTAAGATGTGCACATGCATAAAAATAGCCATCACACATGACAATCTAATACATTATCATTCTTCTCACACACTATCAGGGAGTTTGAGGCCAGCTTTTAGAGATCTAAAATTTTAAGTACAAAACTAACCAAATAAATAAAGTGTATAATGCTAAACTCAACAAAGAATACTAAAAACAAAGAAAATAAACATTCCGCTTTAAATGTCTAAATCAAAGTATTTTGTATTTTGAAATGGATAGAAGAGTTCTAACAGTTTGTAAAGTACAATATAATGACTGTAGCATAGTAAGAAGAATAAAAATAAGTTGTGTGTTTCTTTAAAGATAATTCAAGATAAAAAGCTAATAAAAAATATACTGTAAATCATGAGACTATAATTAAATCTTAATAAAGTCTGATTATAAAAGTAGAAATTCAAACAGGATTGTAATAATTAGTAAAATTAATATGACCAAATGAAACTGTATCCTCACATTTACACCATTTTTTTTTTAAATTTAGATCTACATCAAAATTTGCCACATCAGGTGTAGGAACAACAGGAAACTTAGTACCAAGAGGTGGAAATAAGGGGAAAGTGGCGGTGGGGCAGGAGGAAGGTTAAAGGAAACAGAGGAAGGACCAAGGAAGCAAAACAATAGATAGAGGTATAAGCACAGGAGTGTACATATATAAATACATTAACCCACCAAAATAGAAGTATTGGTCTATGTACATATATTTATACGGAAATACACTGAGGTAGTGGACAGACTTCAGGCCTCTGCTCATACCCTCCCTCAATACAAGAACACTTTATTCTAACAAATCAGCATTCTGGGATGCTCGCCCTCCCAACACAATCAGTGAATACAAAATGGGTGCATAAGCAAATGTGAAGAAGGTGGATGATGTCCAGCTATTAAAAGATACAGCGTCTGGGGTCTTAAAGGATTGAGGGTAAACAAGAGCCATTCAGCAGAGAATCAACACGCCCACAAGGAGGAAGCATACTGCTGGTGCGATCATGAAGAGTCAGCGGGACCGGGTGATAGGCATCAGAAGACACAAACAAACAGACAAACATACTGAGAACAAGGGGAGTTGGAGCAGACACCCAAAGCCTATCTGTATACAAGGGGACATCTCCTCACAGAAGGGTCACAAGGAAGGGATGAGTCAACCAGGGTGCAGTAAAACACCGATGAAACACACAATATTCCTCTGGTTCCTTGAGGCTTCCTCACCCCCCACTATCATGACCCCAGTGCTGCTTCTCAATTCAGACTAGTCCGGAGCATGTACACAGGTATAGATAAGAGATGGGGGCTCAAGACACACGGAATCCAGGAACAGGAGTAGGAATAGCGAGAGAAGAGGAGAAAGGGGGAATCGATCACAATGATCAACATAAAACCATACAGCCCTCTCCAGGGAGAAGAACAACAGAAAACATGGAGGAAGGGAGACAGCATAAGTGTGAGATATGAAAATAATAATTTATCATCTATCAAGGGGTCATGAAGGTGGGGAGGAGGGGAAAAAAGGAGGAGCTATACCAAGGGTTCAATAGAAAGTAAATGTCTAGAAAAGTATGAAGGCAACATATGTACAAACATGCCTGATGCAATCGATGTATGGATTGTAACACAAGTTGTTAGAGCCCCCAATAAAATGACCTTTTAATAATTTAAAAAAAACTCACCACATCTTTAACTACAAACAAAATCAGCATAGATGCGCATAAAAGTAACACTACCAAGAAACACACAGCACTACCAAAGACTACCGTGTTAACATTGCGATGCCTTAAAGCAGCAAATTTTGAGCAATAATTTCCGCACCTATTATCAGAAGGCAGAAGAGAAAGCAAAGCCAAAGCTGAAAGCTTTCTTCTTTCAGGCTGGGTGATATTGTCCATTCGATCAACCCACATTTCAATCATACTTCCCAAAAGCTGGTCCATCTAAAAATAGAGAAGACATTTTTTAAATATTTGATACGCCATTTATACAAGGATAAATATTGTTGAGACTGGAAAAAAAAATCACGAGGTATAGTTTAAGTTCAAACACAGCAAATCACTAAGTGTAAATACCAAAAGGTAGAACAAGTCTTGAGTCGAAAAGAGATAGAGAGGAAAGCCTAAAACTGACTCGCTCAGAACCCATTAATCCTGATAGCTAAGTAGATTTGCTCAAAACCTGTATGGAATCAGCGTGACTTTAGTAAATTCATTTAACAAATAACCAATATACACACTCTATAACTGGCACACTAAAAAACTACATGCATTTTTCAAAACTATCAACTTATACTTAGGTTATACTTTACTGAACTGGATAATTATCATTCAAAGTTCTATCATTCACTGGGCAGATTGGCTGCTGCTCTCAGAAGAAAAATAGCTTGCAACCTCACCCTGCAGAATTTCTAAGAAAAAGAAACGAATTCTTGGACATTTACACGCTGCATTAAAAAGTTAAAATAAACACAAGAATGGATTAGACATTGTATGTAACATACCACCAAATGTACTGATTAAGTGGACTAGAAGTGAAGCACAAGGTTTGCTTATAACATGTTCCCACTTCTGGCCTCTCCTAACATCAGGGCAGTTCTACACAGAGCTACTAAGGACCCTTGGTGGCTTAGTGGTTACAAGCTTAGCTAGGCTGCTAATCACAAGGTCACCAGTTCAAATTTACCAGCAGCTATGTGGGGAAAAGACCAGGCTTTCTACTGCTGTAAAGATTTACCATTTTTAAAACCCACAGAGGCAGTGCTACCTTGTCCTATAGTCCGGACACAATGGAAATAAGCTGGTTTATTTTGTCTGTTTTCAGTATCTGTTTTAAATAGATACTTTAAATATTCAAATGACTATGACATAGATATTGATAACATATAATCTGCCTTAAGTTCTACTCTAGTACTTCTTTATCTTTTAAGGAAAACTGCTGCATGTTACTTATACTACGAAAATATTTCTTAGTTCCAAAGGACTATTTATATAGGAATTGTCCAAACTGCTGCACCTTGAGATGCTAACCAAACTCACAATATAGTTACATTTTTTAGATAAACAGTAACATTTATCAGGGAATTTTACATTTTTTTGGATAAACAGCAACATCTTTCAGATGGTAGAAGAATTATTAGCTCAGAGTGCTCCCCATAGTGCTTCTTTCACTGATTTCATATCCTTATAAAGTATGCCCCCCAAAGTCAAGGTAAAAACAAAAGGGAAATGCAAGCATACGACCTGACTCCTGAGACTTGCACATTTGGTAGTGCTCAGTAACGAATACTGATTTCATTGGTAAGTGTGGTTCTTTACAGGTAAGAGTCATTCTATTTTCACATTTTTTGCACATTATACTTTTAATGATAAGTTATTAAACATGGTACATATTCAATTACTTGGATGAAACTACTTAATAAGTGCAATTATTGTACCCATTTCTTTTGGCCTGGGAACATGGAGAAAACATTATCAAGACACAAAAAGCACCATAGGGCAAATAAAATAAAATGTAGTGACCTCTAACAGAAAGGTCAATGGTTTGAGCCCTCTATCCCAGGGGTTCTCACCCTTCCTAATGCCACAACCCTTTAATACAGCTCCTCATGTTGTGGTGGGCCCCCAACCACAAAATTGTTTTCATTGCTACATCAGAACTATAATTTTGTTACTGTTATGAACCATAATGTAAATATCTGATATGCAGGATGTATTTTCTTTGTTATAAATTGAACATAATTCAAGCAGAGTGATTAATCACAAACAACATGTAATTACAAATGGTGAAATATTTATTTCTAATTACAAAGAAATGAAATTTTATCTTGAAGCATGGTATAGCATGAGTAACAGTCTTCAAGCTGGGTACATGTACCTGGGCGGATCTGCATGTGGGCAGGCCCGCCTGGAGACAGAGGAGCCATGTTTCATTCCTAAGACCATCAGAAATAATGTGTTTTCCGATGGTCTTAGGCAACCCCTGGGAAAGGGTCGTTCGACACCACCACCACCCCAGAGGGGTCACAACCCACAAGGTTGAGAAAAGCTGCTCTACTTGCTCTCTAGGAGAACGTGTGGCAGTCAGCACTCTAGGTTACTATCGATTGGAATGAGTTGATAGCAATGGCTGTGTTTTATTCTTCGTTTCAAGAAGCCCTGATGGTGCATTGGTTAAGCGAGCAGCTGCAAACCAACAGATGGGCAGTTGAAACCCACTAGCTGCTCCATGGGAACAATGTAGCAGTCTGCTACACTTGAAGTAACTGGCTTAAGAACTTGCACACTTCCTCTGGTGGTTAGTTTCATCACAGTATCTCTTCTACAACTTTTCTAAAAAAGACATTTCAGTTGTAATTATAATAAAGGCTCTTAATCCATGCCATTTATAACAAATTGATTTTAAAAATCAAACAAACAAGAGTACATTACTATGTAAAGTATTCCTGTTTCAAATTATGAGTAAGCAAATCAAATTTCCAACCTATGGCTAAATGGAATCAAATGGTCTAAAATGAGCAAACTATCTCAGAGAACTTTTGCTTTCTACTCTACTACATTATAGGTACAGCAAGTTATTAAATGTTTACAATGTAAAGGTGTAAGTAATAGAAAAGGACTTTTGAAATAAAGACCCAATATCGTATCCAACTATATACAATTTGTATTTGGATAAACCCGTCTTTAAACCTAAATGTATGCTGCAGTGGCCCAGTGGCTCACACATTGGGCTGCTGACCTAAAGATTGACTCTGTCCTCTCATCATGTCACCAGGAGGCACAAGTGATTCACTAACATTAAGTACGGTTTGGTTAAATGACATTTAAATGTAAACCAACCAACCTGAACTCACTATCAATGCATCAGTTGTGACGTTAAAAATACTTACTGTCCCTGTGCTGATTCTACCATTCTTCTGCAGAGTGGAAAATGGGCTTTAACTCCAACGTAGAGGTTAAAGCCTAGCAGTCCAAAGCTTTCAGGACAGGGTTCGCAGGGCTCATTACAACTAATTAAAAGGAGCTTTTTCAAAGTTTTCTTGGGGATATATGAACTCAGATTGAGGTCCTCCCCCTTCTCTCTGGATCATACTGAAAAGTAGGAACTAACCATCCCCAGTTATTTGCTTATGTGTAAACTGGCCCAAATAATTTGAAATCCAACAGACAACCAATTTCCTTTCCTCCTGTTTGTTTCACTTTCAAAGTCACCTTTTCTCCCTAAATAAAACACATTCATAAATCTCTGATTATGTCTTACCTCCTGATTGAATTTATGTGCCATCTCATTAAGAAGTGAAGAAAAATAACTAGTATTTTGTAGCAGTACTCGGCCCATGACTCCAAGATACGTAGACATTACTACAGGATACCTCTATACAATCACAAAACAGCACATATAAAATTGTGTCAATATACATGTATAAGCAATATACGAAATAATAACAATTCACAGGATACTCCTCATACCACTTCTTTCACATGAATTCTAAATAAGTAATAAACATGAATAATAATTCATTCTAATAAATGAGTTCTAGCTTAGTACATGTTTGTAAAAGAGATGGTGAGGAATCAATGGAATATTTATATTGCTTTAAATAATCCTAACATGGTTAAATAACACAAATTAAGAGCTGGATTTGCAAAATAATCAGTGGTATAATATGTTCAGTATATTAAAAGACAACCATTATTTTTCCCTCATAGTCTTAATAGTCAAGCATTAAAATAAAAGTCATAACTACTCCTCCTACTTTGAAATCTGTGTAAATACACTAACACATAAAGTGAAAAAGATGATGTGTCAAAGGAAATCTATGCTTGCCTACGTAAAGCAAGAAGAAACTGAGGAGTCTACCCAGAAAATCAACTTACTTCAAAATCATAAAAAAAAAAGTATATCTAACAATGAAGAACAAATATGACAGGGTTCAAAATGTCGGTGGAAAATTACCACTATCTTTTCATCCCATTGGAAGTCCCCTCAAAATCTCCCACTGAAAAATAATAATTAAAACTAAAACCCTACAGTGTAATATTATCCTCAAGGGAAAAAAAAAAAATCTTACCTCCCCTTCTACAATCCCCCTGAAAACACAGGGTAAAATTGGTTGAAACATTTGCGGGCCTAATACTGGGTTCACTTTAAGGGCATTTTCCACAACCTGGAAGCAAAATGACACATTGGTTTTATTCAATATAGTGCTATTTCACGCAAATCATATTTAATTAAAACAATATATCATATGCCACGTGCCAAATTTGAAAATATAGCAGAAGGTATTACAGAATTGTTGCTCTTCATTGCTATGTGCCCTCACATCAATTCTGACTCCAGCAACTTACAGGACAAAGGAGAGCTTTCCCATGGAGTTCCACACCAGCCTCTCCACAGAAAATGAGCCTACCTACTTGAAAATTACAGCCTCAGACATATTCTATAGAGTCGCTGTGAATTGGAATCAACTCAAATTAAGTAGGCGTGATTTGGGGGGTAATCTTTATGCAAAGAGCCTTGGTGCCGCAGCAGTTATAGATTCCTCACCAAAGTTTTGACTACTTGTTAGCCAAAATGTGGGGGTTTTCAAGGCATCCGTTGCTCCCAAGGAAAGCAACGTGAGAGTCTGCCTCCATAAAGATTTCCAGCCTCGGAAAGCTTCCTGAGCAGCGCTCGTCTAATTCCGGCTCACTAAGAGTCAGAGGAACTACCGGTTAGCAGTGAGTACGGAACTGGAATCTTTACAGGGATGGATGCCCAGGTCTTTTCTCCAACAGCAGATACGGTGGGGCAGTTCCAACCACCAACCTTTTAGTTAGTAGCTGAGCACTTTAATAATTGTCTCAGCAGGAGTCCTCATTCCAGCACACTTTCACAAGATAAGTCTTTTATTTTTTTAAATAAGAGAAATATCTCAGCATAGCTATAGATCTTGAATGAAATTACATTTAATCACAATGCACTAGGGTAACATCAAATGATGACTAACTCGGTATTGAAGTAGGTACTTCCACTGACAATCAAAATCTTATAAAACACTGAGCAGGAGCATTATTTCAATTTTAGAACAAACTTTTGAAAACATCATCTAATTATATAAGTTGCAATAAAAAAAGTTTATATATCTCAGGTAAATATATACATGCCCAATCAGACAACATCAGGAAGAAATTAATATTAAAGGCTAAGTAATTAAAAAACAAAACTTGTAGCCACTGAGTCTATTCTGATTCACAGCAACTCTTTAAGGTCAGAGTAGAGCTGACCCCCCCAAAGGTGCCGCCAAGGCAGTGAGGTTTACAGGAGTAGAAAGTCCCCTCTTCCTTCTGTAGTAAGCAACAAAAGCTTTTTAAAATCACACAAACTTACAAATGTCATGTTTTAACATATTGCTTACTTTTTTTCTTTTATTTTAGTGAGGAGTAATGAATATACCATGGACTTGCCAGAGGACTGGATGATGACTAAGGAAGAACACAGAAGAATTGATACATTTGATATAATGTTGGCAAAGAATATTCAAGGTACTGTAGGCTGCCAGAAGAACAAACAAATCGGGAGGGTAAAGGGAGAATGGGTAGGAAAGAGGGAACCGATTACATGGAACTGTGTGTGACCTCCTCCCTGGGGGACAGACAACCGAAAACTGGATGAAGGGAGACGTCGGACTGGGCAAGATATGACAAAATACCCATTTATAAACTATCAAGGGCTCATGCGGGAGGGGGGAGCGGGGAGGGAGGGGAAAAATGAGGACCTAATGTCGGGGGTTTAAATGGAGAGAAAATGTTTTGAGAAACGATGTACAAATGCGCTTTACACAATTGATGTGTGTATGGATTGGAATAACAGTTGTATGAGCCCCTAATAAAATGTTAAAAAAGAAAAAAAAAAAAAGAACAAACAAATCAGTACTTGAAGAAATACAACCAGAATGCTCCTTAGTAGAAATGACAGCAAGACATGCTTTGGACATGGTATGAAGAAAAACGACCCCAGGAAAAAGACATCATATTTATTAAATAGAGGGTCAGTGTACAAGAAAAAGATCCTCAATGAGATGGACCTACACTGTCTGCAACAATGGGCTCAAACCTAGTAATTGTGAGGATTGTGGGGGGAGGTCAGAGGCTAACAGACAACCTCCCTGACGGGTAGGCCTGCTCCCTGCTGCTGGGGACACTGGACTATTTCTCCCTGAAGCTTGCAACCATTAGCTTGGTTCCTGTAGGTAGAGTTCCTATGGAGATCCAGAGAACAGGTCAAAGTTAAACTGCCATCCTTAATCTAGGATCCGCCCACCTTGTCACATATATACCCCTAATCCCTCCTCTTCCTATTGCATGTATGTCCCTAGACCACCCCCTCTCATTACTGTGTTGCCTATAGTGCAACCCCTTCCTGTGACGCATGTCTTTACCTGTAATTAGTGGGCTTGCACGCTCCCAAAAGGTATATAAGCCTGGGTTAGCAATAGAGGTCTCTCGGTCTCTCTCCCTCCCTGGCCTCTTCTCTTCCCCCTCTCCTCTCCCATCCTCTCCTAGCTCCCTTGTTCCCTTGTCCTCCTTCCCTTCCCCCTCTCTCCACGTGGACCACCAAGCGGGGCTGAGGTGAGCAATGCTACCATAAAATGTGTCTGACACCATTGTTTGACTCTTCTACCGCTCATGCTCTCGGTGACTTTAATATTTATATATCTCAACTGTACAATTGTGCTTACTGAACTCGTGGTCAGTGGTGGGGGCTGACCTCTCCACCCCACCTCATACTACAGAGGATGGCAATGGAGCATGTTTCATTCTATTATACATAGGGTTGCTATGGATCGGAACTGACTCAGGGCACTTAATAGTAACTAGGTCATCTTCAGCATAGCCAACATTCAGAAAGGCATTGCTTTCGTGCTAAGTATGTAACATAAAGTGACCCAATAAAATTTAAGATTATACAACTTAATTCCCTAGATTTAAAAAGATTTGCATCTTTTTCTTAGACTGAAAAACCTCAGATCTAAATTAGTTTAGCTTATTTGCTTCTATCTACTGTCATATATGCTAATATAAAAACAGTAAGACTACTGGACAGAATTTCCAAGCTCTTTCGGGACAGTAGAGAGCATCACCAGCCTCGAGAGCTGCAGAAAGCCTGAACTATAGGAGCAGCTCCCCATTGACTTGAATCCCGTATGAACTCGCTGATCAAAGCATTCAGTAACGGTAGCCAGGCACCATCCAATTTCGCTCTGATGCCAAAGTTTCCAAACAAGTAAACTTTCTATTCTCAGTATGTAAAAGAATCCACGTAGAGAAAATGTTTTGAGACTGATGTACAAATGCGCTTTGCACAGTTGATGTGTGTATGGATTGCGATGACAGTTGTGTGAGCCCCTAATGTTTAAAAAAGAAAAAAAAAGAATCCACGTGTTCCCAATGTCAAAGAGAGTTACGCTCTCAGAAGCCCATCCAGGCAGTTCTACCCTTTCCTACAGGATGGCTATGAGTCAGACTTTTTTTTAAAGTAGTCATTCTCTCAACAAAATTAGTCTGTGAAAAAAGTGGTTAAGTCAACTCATAACTCAATCCCACAGGGCTTTTCTGCAATTAACATTTGGGTCTGCAGCAAAGCTCAGTAAATATCCCTCCCATTTCGTCACACAGGCTATGAAGAAGGTGTGTATTCTAGGATCAAGACTCAATAAAATTAATAATTTTTACATCTTCAACTGCATTTTTTTATAGAATTGTAGAAACCTTTATTAAGCAAATATACCAAAATGTGAAGCTACTGTTTCTTGACATTCCCTTATATAGGTCAATGTACTTCTGAATGCAATGTTTCCCTTTCTCTACGCTTCCTTGAAGAATTCGATGCTCTTTAATTTAGACCACACAGTTTTGGCATCCTAGAAAGACCCAAACTGGGTTGCTTTTATTATTTTATTGTTTAAATCACTTTATTGGGGGGATCTCACAGCTTATAATATTCTATACATCAATTGTATTAAGCATATTTATATATATATGTTCCCATCATAATTTCCACATTTTCTACTGGACCCCTTAGTATAAGCTCTTTTTTCCCCACCCTCATGTGTCCTTGATCAATTATATATTATTTCATATCTTACTGTCTCCCTTCACCCACATTTCTGTTATTCATCCCCTTCAGGAGGCACGGGGCTATAAATATTCAGTCTTGTGATGGATTCCCTCTTTTTCATCCTTCCCCCTCCCTGACCATCCCTCTACCCTCACGATATCGCTACTCCCATAACTGCTCCTGAGGGGTTTATCTCTCCTGAATTCCATGTGTCAAGAGCTCTTATCTATACCAATATGTGTTCTCCGGTCTAGTCAGACTTGTAAGTTAGAACTACATCATGGTGGGGGGGAGGGGGGGTATTCAGAACTAGAAGAATGATGTGTGACTTGTCGTTGCTATACTACACCTTGGTTGAATTACCCCTTCCTTATACTACTTCTGTTGGGGGATATCCGATTATCTGCAGATTGGCTTTGGGTCTCCACTTCAACCTCCCTCTTTCACAATGATATAGTTGTTTGTTTGGGATCTTTTTATACCTGATGCTTGATCCTGTTGACATCTCATAACACACAGGATAGCGTGCTTCTTCCATGCGTGCTTATTTGCTTCTCTACTAGATGGCCACTTGTTTAACTTCAAGCCTTTAAGACACCAGATGCTGTATCTTTTGATGGTCAGGCACCATCTGCTCTCTTCACCACATTTGCTTATAAACCTATTTCTTCTACTACATTTTTAAGATTCCTAGAATCTTTTTATTTCACTTCTGATTTAATAATCCATTGGCTTTGAAATTTTAAGTATTTAGTTTCCATAAGATTATTTAGCTTTCCTTATTCTTGTTGCTGATTTCTAGCATCATTCTATTATGGTCAGATTAGATGTATCAAGCCTTTAAAAGTTAAGATGTATCAAGCCTTTAAAAGTTACTGAAATTTACTTTGTGTCCAAAAATAGTCTGTACCAGATACATGGTGCAATGAAGTAAAGTGTCTACCATGCTACTGTTGAGGGGTGTGCTCATGTTAGGTCCAAATGGGTAATATTACACAGGTCTATTTCTTTATAAAACTGACTGATCCATCATCAAAAAGTGGTATGTACAAATTGTCCTTCTTTGTC